GCCCAGAACAGAAATCATCTCAGTTGGATTTTTAGTGCACATTCCTGCCCTCACCCAACTGCACGGGCCAGCTTTGGGGGTCTCCTTCGAGAGCCAGTCCAGCCTCCGCAGCCGCCTGCCGCTCACCGGCACCGGCAGCCATGGCCGTGCTCCACCTGCACCTGATCCCCAGCAGGGCCTGGCTGGCCCTCTGGTGCTTCCTCTTAGTCGGGAAGCAGTGTTTACCGCTCTGTCTGTCTGTCTCTCTGTCCCTTTCCTTCCCCCTGGACCAGCGATGTGGATCCCATGTAGTTCCAACAAGTGGGCAAGCTCTGTCCTAGGACTGGCAGGCCCAGGAGGTGGGGATTGTGTGCTGAGCGGCCTGGACCCCAAAGCTGCTGGGTAGTTTTCATTTGGGCATCGAGACGTCACAAGTCTGCATTCTTGGCATTGCCCACCAGTTGGAATAGAACAGTAAACTCCAGTGTGGCCATGTGAGGCTGTGATTAAATGGCGATTGGAAGCAGGCGATCCTTGCTGAGCAAGTGCTTGGTGGTGGGGACGGAGAGGGGATGTGGACCCACTGCTCCATCAGCATAGTCAGCGCTGAGTCCTATCCAGGAACCAGAGACAGGACACGTGCTTTTGAAGGTGCTTTTGAAGGTGAGCAGTTAGGTGTTCAAAAGTGGGGCGGGGTTGGAGCGCCTCCTGGGAAACTCGGAGAGGTTGGGACTTGTGAGACCTCAGGATGGAGGATGGAGGTGGCTGAGGGGAGGATGGAGGTGATTGAGGGGAGGATGGAGGTGAGGTGGCTGAGGGGAGGATGGAGGTGGCTGAGGGGAGGATGGAGGTGGCTGAGGGGAGGATGGAGGTGGCTGAGGGGAGGATGGAGGTGGCTGAGGGGAGGATGGAGGTGGCTGAGGGGAGGATGGAGGTGGCTGAGGGGAGGATGGAGGTGGCTGAGGGGAGGATTGGAGGGGCTGAGGGGGGGATGGAGGTGGCTGAGAGGGAGGATGGAGGTGGCTGAGAACCGTGTGTCCTGAATGCAGGGTGGCAAGTGCCTGGCACATGCTGGGACTGAGAGGAAAGCCGCCTGTCACCAGCAGGCAGGCCTCCTTCCCTGACGTCGAGACAAAGCCGTCCTGGGACCTGGTCCTCCAGCAGCTCCGAGGGCAGCCTGGGCTCTGAGCAACAGTTTGCAAATTCCTCTCAGGACATCAAGGCCCAGGGGGCCGCAGCCTGACAGCCAGCCTGCGGTCAGCTCTCAGTGTTCCTGCCGCCGCCGCTCTCCGTCGCTGGCCGCCCATTGTGGAGGCTGTCACAGATGTGGAGGCAGCCAGGCCGGAGCTGCCACAGCCCCCGGGGTCACTGCGCTGCATTCGGGGGCTGAGCGAGGCCTTCCCTGCAGACCTTTCCCCTCATCTGGGCGCTCAGGGAGGAGAGGGAGGAGGTTTTTTCTGAGCTGCCCTAAAGCCCTGAGAAGCAATGGCTGAAAGTTAGGAAAGTCAGGATTGCAGATTGACTAGCAAAAGCACCTGCCTGTGGAGTTTCTGAAAATGGAGTGGGGGTCCCACCGGTGCCCTGTCCCTGGAGGTGCTGAGCAGAGGCTGCACGGCCTCCTCTTAGGACTGAGGCAGGAAGGAAGTAGATGTCGGAGTGCAAACGTGGGGCCTCGGGCCCCTTGGGCGACCTGTTTGGTTCCACTGCCTCCGTCCATCTCCATCCCCCGGCCTGCCTGCCGGCGGCGTGGTGTTGGCCTCTCCTGCGCTCTGAGAGCGTCCTCAGCTGCTCCATCCACACTTCAACACATTCTCTTTTCTTCCTCTGTTTCGTCCAGCAGAGCATTGTTACAGTTTTCTCCAAGCCCTACACTACCTGAAAGGTCTCCCTGGAGACGCCCCGCACAACACACTTTCAGGGTGAAGTGGTTTCTCTTGTTGGCCGTCATCATGCGCTAACGTTGGTCGAGCCGCCTGTGGAAGGGGCCGCGATGCCAGCCTTGCTTTTGTTCCTAATTCATAAACGAGGAAATGGGAGGGGGGGGTGAGGAGGGAGCCTGAACTGGGGACAGGCCTTTGGACACCAGGGCGCACCCCCCACAACCCCCCGCTGGCTCAGCGACAGGGAGAGAGCTCCGGGCGCCTTGCTCACGTCCCCTCTGCTTGGCAGCTTCATCGCCGTGGAGAACATCGACAGCTACTGCGTGCTCATCTCCTCCAAGGCCGTCTACTTCCTGAAAAGTGGGGACTACGTCGACCGGGAGGCCATTTTCCTGGAAGTCAAGTACGACGATCTCTACCACTGCCTCGTCTCCAAAGACCACGGGAAGGTGTACGTGCAGGTGACCAAGAAGGCGGTGAACACGAGCAGCGGAGTGTCCATCCCCGGCCCGTCCCAGCAGAAGCCCATGGTGAGTGCACACGGCCACCCCTCCGCCCTCCTGAACCGTGTGGTCAGAGTGTGAGAGACAGCGAGGCCCACGGGCACCTCTGCCTGCTCACTCTCCTCCCGGGAGCTCTCTGCGGGGCCAGGCTGGGCTGTTACCCCAGGGGTGCTGCCTCCTCCCGCCCAGAGGAGCTGGCTGCGTGCTCACGGGGGTGCTGCCTCCCCGTCCCACACAGAGGAGCTGGCTGCGTGCTCACGGGGGTGCTGCCTCCCCGTCCGCCCAGAGGAGCTGGCTGGCGTGCTCACGGGGGTGCTGCCTCCCCGTCCCACACAGAGGAGCTGGCTGCGTGCTCACGGGGGTGCTGCCTCCCCGTCCCACACAGAGGAGCTGGCTGCGTGCTCACGGGGGTGCTGCCTCCCCGTCCCACACAGAGGAGCTGGCTGCGTGCTCACGGGGGTGCTGCCTCCCCGTCCCACACAGAGGAGCTGGCTGCGTGCTCACGGGGGTGCTGCCTCCCCGTCCCACACAGAGGAGCTGGCTGCGTGCTCACGGGGGTGCTGCCTCCCCGTCCCACACAGTGCCTCCTCCCGCCCAGAGGAGCTGGCTGCGTGCTCACGGGGGTGCTGCCTCCCCGTCCCGCACAGAGGAGCTGGCTGCGTGCTCACAAGGGGGTGCTGCCTCCCAGCTCTGCCTCCGGGGCCCAGCACGTGCCAGCACCTGTGCCGCAGGGCCCGTGGATGTTAGCAGTGGGGACCCACTGACATGATGCGAGCTTTTCCCAACTGTGACTCTGGGCGCACTGGGTCCAGGACGGTGTCAGCACACCGGCTTCTCTCGTTTCTCTGTGTAACAATCGGAAACTAACTTTTTCTGTGCAAAGATGCACTATCTAGCAGAGGCCTCTACCCAGGGTAAGTGCTCCATAAATAAAATTTACATTTTTAAGTATAAAAGGCTAGAAGATGTTGCTATGGCAGGACTTTTAAAAAAGGATGTTGCTATTAATAACCAGCCATCGCCGTAAGGAGCTGGGGTTCAAACCCAGGTGTTGTGTGACCCCAGACCACGTGGCCGTCTCCTGGGAGGGACTGCTGGCCCCGGGAGCACGTGGGAGGAAGCCCCGTCCTGGCCCTCTTCCGACTCGGTCTCCAGGAAGCCCAGGGCTAGTCCTGCTCCTTCCTCCCCGACTGCCGGCATTCTCAGGCCCGCATGAGGGAAGGGTGCGTCATTAAAATGCCCCTGCTTATCTCTGGGTCTTTCTACAGATCAGAAATAGCAACCAGCCTTGGGGGGCCTCTTTCCCTTGACCTGCTCCTGCCCAGGAATGCACTTGGGTTTGGTTTGGCTTGTGCAGGCTCCCCTGGGGTCATTGGCTTAAGTCAGGGCTGGTAGATTAACAGAGTTAACACCCAAAAGCATGAGTTATTTCCACAAGTTCCCTCCCATGATGGGGAGCCTGGCCAGCTGCATGGCTGCCCCTTTCAAGGCAAGCGAGCCGCTCCGTGTTCTGGAGAAGGAAGGCCGCAGGCCTTTGTGGGCCGGGTGTGGATTTGAATCCCAAGGTGCAGTCCCTTATTCGTGCTCTTAGCCTGCGGGAGCCGAAGCTGGTCCCCAGGTACAGGGAGTCCCCAACCGCAGGTCACTGCGGGTTGGCTGCACAGTCACCCGGGGAACTTGTTAAAAGACACAGATTCCGTGCCCCCCTGCCCCCCGCTCCCCCTGAAATCAGCATTAACTGGGAGTAGGGCCCCAGAGGCCGTCTCTTAAAAATGCACGTCCTGGTGTCTACAGCTGGGCCCTGTGGCTGTCCACCCCCACCCCCACCCCACCCCACCCCCGCCGACCCTGGCAGGGCAGGTGCTCACTCCGTTCTGTCCTGCAGGTCCACGTGAAATCGGAGGTCCTCGCGGTCAAGCTATCCCAGGAGATAAACTATGCGAAGAGCCTGTACTATGAACAGCAGCTGATGCTGAGGCTCAGTGAGAATCAGGAGCAGCTGGAGCTGGACTCCTGAGGCTGAGGCTGTGCGGGGCTCAGACCCACCTGCCAATCGGGAGCCTGAGGTAGAGGCCAAGCCTCAGCACAGTTTGGGGGACGATCTCAAGAAACGAGAGGAAGCAAATGCTGATGGGGATACTAATGGAAACCAACCGCATTGATTTGTGGGCCAGGGGTCACTTTAGATTATGGGGAAGTAATTTTTTAAAGGTATTGGTTGAATAACGCTAAAAAGTGTCTGAGATGAACCTAATTTTTGGACTGCCCTGTATTTTGTTACCATGTATATATGTACAACTGTGTTTGTAAATATGTAGGCGTATTTCCCAACAGGGCCTGTGATGTGTGTAAAGGCTTATTGACTGTAAAGTAATATAAAGTTATATTGGATCTTCTGTTGCACTAACTCCACGCGTCTGGTTCAGGGAACTCTCTGAAAGGCACTCGAAAGCCAGAGCGCGTCGGGTCTCGGCCGGAAACCAGGGAGTTCCCAGCGCAGGGGCCTGTGGGTGGCGGGCGGTGCTGGAGAGCCCCCTCGGACCTGCGGATCTCGGGCCGGAACCGGAGCCGGCCCTCGCAGAGGCGGGGAGTCGCCCAGAAACCCATCTTTTCTGTATTTCTCTCCCCCATTTTAAAGGCAGGTGTTAGATTATGACAGGTTATTTTCCTGCCCGTCTCCTGCTTAGCCGGGCTTTGAGGGAAATCGGGTGTTGTGACCGCACTCGCCCACACGAGCACCAAGCTTTCCCTGGGTGAGTATCGGGGAGTCCGTTTGATTTCGAAGGAAAAAGTCCCGTAGAAATCTTTGTTTTAACAAATCAAAAATCCTCACGTTTCCTGAGGCCCACGGTAAGGACACTTTCCTCCTGGGCAGCAGCGGAGAAGGGCCGAGGTCTCCTCGGAATAAAGCCGCAGGCTCCAGCTCCACGGCCCCACGCAGCCGGCCGGACGCAGTCGCGGGGACACGGGGCGAGCGAGAGGGCGCGTCTTAGGAAAGGGAAGGAAGTATGAGTGTTAAAGGGCTGGGTCACTTCATGGTACCAAGATGTGGCCAGACCTCCCTGTGCGTGGCTTTCGGTTCAGACGCCACAGGCGTGTGAGGGCCTCCCCTTCCCGGGCCTCGTTGTGTTTTCCTTTTCTGTGAAGAAGAGACAAGTTGGGGGGCAGGGGGGGAGGGTTCACTATAAAATGAATGACTAGCCTCGTGATTTAAAATTTTTATTTTCATAAAGCTAATCAGTGTCCACCACCGTGTCACATGCAGCCGAGATCTGAAACGACTCGGTGGGCCAGTGGGCGTGGAGACAGCTTCCAACGCATGGCCCAGGTCCTTCCAAGATACAAATGACACTGATCTCGCCTCTCCCTCCCACCGGGGTGTGGGGTTGTTCTCAAAGAAGCAAGAGGCACTTCAGCATAGTGTTCAAGTGCTTCAGCTCAGGGTGTTTGCAAGAGCGGCCTTGCACTCCAGGGTCTGGTGTCACTGAACCCAGATTCCGGGAACTGCAGAGCTGCAGCCTGGTCCTGCAGGGCTGTTGGTTGGTTGGTTGGTGGGTGGGTTTTTGCTGGCGGGCAGTTGGGCCACACAGTGCTCTGCGGGCCTGGCCTCCCTCCCTGCACCCCACACGTTCGCCTCGGCAGCCTACCGCCTCCATCACGACCTCCTCCAGATGAGGCCCTGGGAAGGGCTGTCATCAGAGCCTCTGTCACTCTCTGGGATGGAGTCCCTTGGATCTCTGTGCCATGGTGAGGAGCTTAGTGTTACTAAAGAGAACGAGTCTGCCTTCCGCCCGCAGCAACGGGATATTCTGGGCTCTGACGGCAGAAAGCCGGGCGGGCGGGCGAGGGCCTCCTGCAGGACGGTGCTTCCCGGCTCCAGGCCCCCCCATCCTCCTTTCTAATTTAATCAGCCCTTGAAATAGTTGTCCATCTCCCCCGATTGCGCAACACCTCCCTGACATTTGCGCCTGAGAATGTTCCAGTGGGATCCAAAGACCAAACGGGGTGGGGCAGGGTGGGGGCAGGTGGGCACCAGCCGAGAGCTCTCTGGGCGCCCTGCCTTCGCCGCCTGCATGCCAGGTGTGGCGAGGAGGCCTCGGGGGCTCTGGACACAGGTTCCTGGTTTGCCAGGAAAAAATCCGAAACTCTGGGGGAAGCAGCTCTGGCCCTGGCTCCATGGATGCCTATTTCCTTACGAGCTGACCTTCAGCCAGCGATGCCCGAGGCTCGGTGAGGACCATCTCCACCGCTTCTCATGCTGCTTCCAGTCACAGTTCCTCCCCGAGGAAAGTGAAGTAAATGGAAAGAGAAATCGGATAAGGAGAAATCCAAAGCCATCCTAATTCCCTGACCCAGCCCAGCTGGCCAACCCAGGCCGCTGCCCAACCACGGCTGCTTTCTCTGCCCATGGAGAGGCCAGCCAGAGGGCACCGCTGGGCCTGGCCACCCTCGCCGAGAGGGGACAGCAGCCTCCCAGCCCCAGTGTCTCCCTGCTGGGTGGTACCCACCTCCAGCTCAGAAGGTTCCAGGGCCACTTGGTTTTTAAGTGGCATCTGTGCCTCAAAATGCCGCCATGGCTGCTTGAGGCAACCCCGAGAACAGACACAGGTTCCGTGTGTAGACACCACCGCAGCCGCTCTTCCGCTCGCTTCTCATGTCGAGGTCGTTCTTGTTCTTCCTGTGGAATAAAGTGCTTTAACTTCCCAGGCCTGTGGTTTTCTTGGTGTTGCAGATTCTAGAACCATCTCCAGTGGCAAATGCCCGGCGTGTTACAGCGCTCACATTCATGCCCCCTCTCCCTTTGCTCCACGGAGGCACATCACTCGGGCCAATCCTGCCCCTGAGCCGCACTGGACACTTTCCGTCCGCAGGCCCGGGGTCGGGGTGTCCTGCTGGCTGCTCCTCGCCCCACCACGCCGCAGTTGCTGGGCTGGGCCTGGCAGCGGGAGGTTGCCACTTACCAAGAAGGGGAGGCTCTGGGGGAGCAGGTTTGGGGCTCCCTCAGCACATGCTAAGTTCAGGGTCCCGCTTGTCACCCACGAGAGAAGCCAGGAAGGCAGTGGCCTGAGAGTCCGGAATTGAGGCGATTGCGTCCAGGCTGGAGGCGCCACTTGGGAGCCATCAGTGCACAAGTGACAGGTGGACCCTGGATGGAAGCCCCAGAGGACAGTGGGGGCAGCGAGAAGAGCCCCAGAGCTGAGCCCCAGGGGTCCCCCAAGTGTAGAGTCAGACAGATGGAGAGGAACAGTGAGGGGAACCGAGCAGGACCGTGGGGGACGTGCGTGTGAAGCCGGGAGTGGGGCCTGGGAGCCGACCAGGATGGTTTGAGGGCGGGATTAACTGGCCAGCGCTGCTGAGAAGTCAGGTCGCATGAGACCAGCAGTTACTATCGGGTGTACAGCGAGCAGGTCCCGGACACCTTCCTGAGGGTGAAAGCCGGTGGCAGCGGTTTCCAGGGAAAAGGGGGAATCGGAGGCGACATGACTGAGTGAGCTGTTCATGGGAGGACAGATGGCCGGCACTTCAGGGGAGAAGGCGCCGTGAAGAAAGGCAGTAACGAGAGAGGGAGGCCGGCGGGCAGGTGGGGAAGCGGCAGGAGATGCTCATGTGGTCGCTTCTGTTTCCTGGGAGATCAGCAGAGAGAGCAGGGCGGGGGGAGGGGATTTGGAGAGGGGAGAGGATGTGCAGCTGTCCGTCAGGCCTGGGAAGGGAGCTGACCAGGAGCATGAGGGCCCATTTGAGGTTGGGGGTCATGAATTAAAATGAGACCAGGCAGCCTTGTTCAGCACGGATTAGGCAAAGAATTGGATTTAATCAAGGAACGTGCCCCCTTGCCTATTCCGACACCCCACCCACCGATGCCCCCAGAACCCAGCAAGAGCCAGTCAGAACCAAATGTCACACAAACCCTACACGTCCCAAACCAAAGCACAGCATCTAAACATGCCCCTTCTGCATGGGGAGACCGTGGAGGTGTGGCTAACACCCCCACATGAAGGAGCACCCACCAGAATATTTCAGGGCAGTTATTACTGCATTTCCCCCTTTTTGTACCCCCCCCCCCCATATCACCCCCTCAAGACCAATAGCCTCTTGCCCGTGTGCTCACTGCACTCCCGTAGTCATCGCATCCAGGCGTGTACACAGATACACACATTCACGTATAATTTCCAACATTTGCTTTTAGGAAGTTGGAATCCTACATACCCTTTTGCAACTTCTCGGTGTCACCTTTAGGTTGGTGTACCTGTCTTCTCTTCGACGCTGCATAATGTATTTTTTTGATGCTAAAGTTCTGTAATTACTCAACGATTCCTCCCTGGTGGGCCTTCCCTTGGCTTTCAGGCCACCACCCCTCTCTTTCCTCCCAAGAACAACCTCCCCTGAATGTGCATAGGCACTAATTTTATTTCCGTGCGGATTCCCAGGGGCCAGGGGTTAGAGGGTACGTGCAAGATCACGTTCCCAAATGCTGGTAGGAACGCAGCGGGCGGGAGCTGCCTATCCCAGCGCCTCCGCCTGCCCGTCAGACAGGTACAAAGTGGTACCTCAGTTTCCCTAGCATTGGGCCATCTTTTCCTTGGTAGGAATTTAAGTTAGGAATAGCTGCTGAGTTACAACATCTATTATCACGACTGTATTGTTTTTCTCCATTAATTTTTTTCAGTGTAATATTACGTTGATAAATTTTCTGATCCCACACCACCCTTACTCCCTGGGATACACCCCACTTGGTCATATTGTGTTCATTTGTTATTCTTTTGATACATTTTCTTGTTCTGTTTGCTAATATTTTCGAGCCTTTGCATCTTTAAGATGAGGGAGGTCACTCAGCCCATATGGGTCAGTGGTTGAGCACCGACCTATGAACCAGGAGATCATGGTTCAATTCCTGGTCAGGGCACATGCTTGGATTGCGTACTTGATCCCCAGTGTGAGGCATGCAGGAGGCAGCCCATCAATGATTCTCTCTCATCATAGATGTTTCTATCTCTAGCTCCCTCCCCCTTCCTCTCTGAAATCAATAAAAATATAAATTTTTAAAATATAAAAAATGAAATGAGGGGGGTCTATAATTTTCTTTTTTTCTTAGTTTCTTCATCATATTTTAGAATTAAAATGATGCTGCCTTTATAAGATGGACTGGGGAGATTTCCATCATCTTCGATGGCCCACAATACTTAAGTTACATTAGAATTCCCTGTTCTAGTTTTTAAAGTTCGATGAAAGTAGGCCACAAACCCGTCAGGTTCTAGAATTTTTTCAGTAGTTCCCTGCAGCCATCACCCCACGGTGCCCTCCGTTAACTGGAATATTCAAGTTTCCCCTCTCTTCATGGGTCTATTTTTGTGGCATATTTGGTTTTTAAAAACCACCCAGTTCTCTTAGGTCTGTTAATT